CGGTCCATGCAATTCAAATCCTAGAATCACTCCTTCAGATGTTTCTCTATCTCTTCAGAATTTTAATGCCCACAATTTATCTTCTAAATGGCTGTGTTTAGATGGCCACTATAAGGAAATTGAATCTATTTAAGGTCTATGAATAAAAACAACAATAATTATAACAGTGGTAATAATGACAGTAATAATAAAAGCAGCTTCCATTTATTCATAGCTATGTTCTAAGCATTTTCCCATCAATTACTGCATCAGCTCTAAAAGTAAGGACTGTCATTATCCTTCTTGGAGAAATGACATAATTCAAACTTGGAAGATCCAAATAACTCTCTCATGGTCACACAGCTCACAGGTGATTGTGTCATATGTTTAAACCCTAGTCAACGTGAGTTTAAAACTCTGCGATCTTAATCCCTAGGAGGATGCAGTTGGAGGGCATCCTTATCAGAACTGTCGGAAGGTGAGGTCCCTCCCTTGGGCGTGTCCAAGCAGAGTCAGGAAGAAGCCGACAGGCTCGGAGAGATAGGCCCTGATTAGAAAGACAGGAGGTAATCACAGGTTCATAACCTTGCTCTCCTGCTGGAACTCTGTCCTCTCTCCCGTGGAGGCCCACGTCACTCTGAGATGGCTGCCTCCTTTTGTGGTCTCTTTCTGTCTCTTCAGGCATTTCTTTGTGACTTGGGTCACACTGCTTTGTTTGGATCTGCGCAGAGATGGTGAGCACACACCAAACACCGGTGTTCCTCTACATTTTCAGGCCTCGCTTGCAGTTTAGGTTGGCTATGTGAGTAGGTCTGGACCATAGAGTGAGGCAGGAATGACACGTGTGCCTTGTGAGCCGAGGTGGTTAAGCCCCTGGGGCGCCTTCCCCACATTGTTTATTGTTCCCCTGTCTGTCAGCTTGGTGACATAGGAGTGACTGGAAAGCACAAGATGGCAGGACCAAGTTGGAAGTAGCCTGGGTCCTCAAGCTCCTGCGCAGAATGCAGCCATTTGGAGAACAGCCTAACCTGCACCCGCACGGCCTTAAAGAAAAGCAAGCCTCTCTTCTGCTAGGTCAGTGCGGTTGTTCAATCCTAGGCCTGTTCTGACGAATGCAGATTCTTTATTAAGTGGAAATACATGTACGTTTGCATTTTAGGTGAACTCAGGAGTGGCCATTTCTATGCATATGTGGTCTAAGGGGAGTGACTCACGAAGGTGAACAAGGGAGGGAGAAAAGTGCTGACCTGATAGTGGCTGGGTGGCCACGGGGGCGTCTCTTCTGGACACTGGGGGCTGGAGATGCTCCCACTATAGAGGCGAGGGGTCATGAGCATGGTTTTCCCCAGCCAACGCCATGATCCCACGCCCCTCCATCGTGCCAGCAGCTGAGCTGATGGGGGTGGGGCAGAATGTGCCGGTCTGTCACTCTGCATTACGCAAAAAGTCACGGGCTTATCCCCTGTGGGGTTTTGGGGTTTGTTTTTTTTTTTGGTCCATATCAGCTGGTGGCCACTCAGTTTTCCAGGCCAGCTATTTTTCTGCAGCCTAGGTGTCAGCTGGAAGGCTATCAGCAGAGTTGTGATCCAGATCTCTTGGTGCCAATACGATGACTACCAAAATCACGTGATTTCCATGTTGCCAGAGAAGCACACCAGCAAATATAAAATAGCTATGGGTGCCGGAGGCCACCAGAGACTCCCGCCATGAAATCCTCACAGATTCCTCCATAAGACCAAAGACCTTGAATAAATATCTCCTTTCTGAGTTTCTGCTTTCTGAGCTGTCTTCCCCTTTCTTTTGGTACTTTCCATCAAAAATGGGAATTGCCACAAACATCTTCCCAGCTCACCTTTCGATACTGAGATAAAGCCGGGAAAGTTTGGTCTAAGTCATCACGAGCTGGGGGATTTGCATCACACAGCGAGAGACAGAATCAAAGTGCTCCCCTGGTTACATTAGAAGAAATAGTAGAACACCTTGTTTTGATCCTAGAAGCTTGTTGAAAAATGGCCTTTTAAAGACGAAAGCAAGTATAGTTAGCGGAAAGGAAAGTAGAATAAAGAGTTATTGGGATGTGAAGAAAATAAAAGGCTTTGGAACAACTGAGGGAAAGATGTATTGAAGTGAACAGTGAATAAAATATTAGGGAAATAAAAGAAGTGGAGGTGACCATTAGTAACAGTTAAGGAAGGAAGAGATAAGTCATCGAGAGTTGAGGAGAAAGATGAAAAAAGATAAAAGGGAATATTACTGTCTGAACAAAGAGCAGGAAGCTACGGACAGAATAAACATTCCCTGTAACTTGCTAAAAGCTGAACGCAGATTGGTTGCATTTCTGGGGCATCAGCAGATATACTAAGTGTATCAGGCCAGGAGACAACACTTCCAGACAATTTTATAGAACAGTGAAAATGGTAGACATCAACTGATTGATTGATCATGTTGTGTTTACACCTTCTACAAATTACAAATTGCAATGACTGCAAACCAAAGCTCTTAAATGCTGCAGTGATAAAGGAAACATGGAAAAAGGCACATGACAAAAGCCCGCAGTAATGTCACTAACCTGGTTTCTTTCCACATCCGACATGGCCTAGACCATCAGATTACGTAACCCTGACATATCCCTGCCATCTCCTGGATCTTGGAATTCGACTTCAAATATCTAAGTGTCTTAACACTCTCTGGTTTTGTTTGATCCTTCTTTGTTTTCCTCCAGATGCTCTCCTTGTGTCAGAAGGAGAGCACTCACCACTCATGGCTTCTTAGTTAACCACGTTTTTCCAGAGACAGAGGGGGCTTGTGTTAACTACAAAGAAATGCATGAAAGAAACTGAGACTGAAAGAAGAAGAAGGGAGGGAGAAAGAGGGCAAAATGGAAGGGGGCGAGGGAGACTTAAAATGTTCCTTGGTTAAGAAAAGTATTTTGGGCTTTTGATTTTTTTTTCTTCCAAGTGGAATATAGTAATACATTGTTACTACTTCTGGAAATCCAGATTTTTCAAACAATATTCAGTACGCATTCTCTAATCTGTAAAAATTTTGTTCATTTAGGCACAATTAACCTCATTCACGGGGTCTACACTCATAATCACCTATGTCCCTTGCTTTGAGATGAACTCACGGTTCTGAACTAGATCTGCTCTCTGTATTTTTTTTACCTTAGTAATATAACATGGGCCCTTCAGTTTCACTGAGAGGGGTAGTCACATTTTACTGATCCAAGAATTCACACACACATTCATATACAAATTTTTAACTGTCTTCCATTCCCATATCACTGACTTTTCATGAGTATGTTATTGATAATCAACCCAGTTCCATTTACCATTTACTAGCTTACACAGAACCGACAACCATAACCAACTTAATTACTTAGGGGATTGAAAGTACAAGAACACACACACACACACACACACACACACACACACACGCACCAAACTTTGATATTGGAATGTACAGTATGGTATAGTTGAAATGAAAAAGATCCCCCAAAGTATGATTGTTTCCAGTTTCTCAGCAGTGAATTAAAAGCTGTTTGGTGGAGTGAAGATTACAGAAGCAATTGCATTTATGGGCCTGCTTTGCATACCAACACTATTAATTTTCATACTCAGGTTGGCTTCACATTTCCACGCATGTTAATGCATCAATAGATACCATTTGGGATAATCACTGGGAAAAAAAAGAGAAGAGAGAGAGAGAGAAAAGAACAGAGTAGATAAGAAAGATGAAAAGAGAGCCAGAAAAATGGTTCTTGTAAACCAAGTCCTGTTTGAAATATATTGATTCTGATTAATAGCAGAATCAAAAGACAAATGAGGGTTCCTGATGGCCTGACCCAGGAGTCACACTCAGGGATCAAATTAGTATGAAATCACATATTGGAATTCACTTATTGTGCCAGTCCTGCACCCTGTCATTACGGACTCTAATTATTGAAATGATTTCATTGGCGTAATTGCATCAAGATGTGCCTGGGCTTCACCTTGGATAACTCCCCTGATGCTCAACATTGTATCTTCATTATTGTGTTCCTTTCAACTCTTTAAATGTGTTCCAGTCTCACAGAACAATCCAATCAAGCAGGCTAGTTTTGTTTTGTTTTTTAACTTTTTTTAAACATGCCAGCCACATCACTCAGGAATAAAGGAATGTGGCTAGCCTCAAAGGCAAACCTGAGCCCACAGGGGCAAATGTACAATAACCTTGCCTGAGGGACCTCAGAGCATCTGACCAAATTACACCACTGTTTTCATATCTCTTATTCCCAAATGTTAGAGAATAGTGCTCAAGAGCCTATGATTAAATGGTTATTTGCCTAACATCAGTGTTAAATCCCATGGTGTTAACACTATGTTTATTATGCAGTTAGTAATGTATCCCGTGCCCTCATAAGATTAAACAATATATTATCAGCTTTAAAAAAAAACAGGAAGATATTATAACCACAGGTCTGAGCATATTTTAAAGAAATTAACTGGAATTTGGGAGGATTTGGGTTTAATCCACAGAATAGCCAGTAGAGATTTTGAATCTTTCTGAAAACCATCTTATAGCCTTAAGAATGAGTTCTGAATTCCTGCACCTAAAAATTCCCAGAAGCCAACACCCTGCTCTCACCTTTATTTCAATCTAATGCCATGGATGACAAACAACAGGTAGAGTAACAGTGCACAGGAAGGCAATGGTTTTGCTTTCAGGGATCTGCCCAGGCGAAATGGACAGAATTTATTTCCTTTGCACAGAATAGAATTCACATTGGAAAGTGGTGGCTCCTTTTCTGGGAGCGGTTGGGAAATATTCACCAATGATAAAATACTAAAAAGAGACACACTTCACTCTATTTGCCTCTTAGCTGGCAAGACTCTAATTCAAGACCGTCCACTCTGGATCAAGCAGAATAAGAATAAGGAGCAGAAAACGATTTAAGGAATATTACATCCTGAGGCACATTCACAGGCATTGGTGTATTTAAATAGGACAAGAGACCAAAAACATCAAGTGGCATTGCTTACAGTTTAGAATCGCCTGGTCCTCAATGAATTCAGCTGGCTGAGCAATATGGAACACTTTCTGCTGAAATCCAGGAGTGCAGTCCAAATCTTCTGCAGATGTTAGCAGCAGCACCTGAGAAAACCGAAGTCATCAATATTTTAATAGCAGCTCATGTGTTTGCCCTACTAACTTGTACCAAATCTGTGACTTTTAGAAATGTGCTGAGGATTTAATTTAATTTCCCAAATGAAGAGGTAAGTTGATACTTCTCCAGCAGTTGCCAACGATTTTGTTTTGGCAATGAGATTTGGAAAATGTGCAAATAGGAACAGCTGTGGCAGTTTCCACTCAGTTGCAGTTAAAGAAATAACTTCGTCAAATTTTTACACCTGCTAAGAATCTCACTGTGGTTTCCATGTGTGAAATTTCATTACAGAATCTGTCAATTTCATAGGAAGCCTATGCTAAAACCAACTTCACCGTCATAGATGGGAAGGAGCATTGTCATCTATGAGGAGAAAGAAAATGAAACTATTTCATTGGAAGTTACTTCTCAAAGAAATCTAAGGCCCACTGGAACTTCACAGTCCAACATGGCGGCCATGAGCCACAGGTGGCTACAGAGCCCTGAAAATCTAGCTGGGCTGAAACTGTCAGTATAAAATACCTGTTGATATTGAAGACTAAATTCCAAAAACAAAGTAAAATATATCATTAATAACATATATGGATTACATATTGACAGGATAATATTTTACAGATTAGACTAAATGTTATCAAAATTAATTTTACCACTTTCTTTTTACTTATGTGAGTTTGTCTATTGGAAACTTTAAAATTTACAGTTGCTTCCAAAGGCCCAGCTTTGCCTTTGCAAATCCTTGAGACACTTTGTCCAGGGGTCAAAAATTGAGGATATGTGTTTTGGAACATAAAAGCATATGGCACACCCTGGACAAGGGGTAATTTATTGTAGTAAGGTAAGAAATGGCTACAGGTTTAGTAGGCAAATATTCTAAATCCTGTGAAGCTAGGGATTACTTCTCTTTCCTCACCTTTTATTCTCCATATACTCAAATTATGACTGTTAACATTTTTCATCCCTTCCTATATGGCCAGCATTGTGCTAAATTTGTTAGATGCATCCTCTCCTTTAATCTCCACAATAGCTCACACAAAAGGTATCTATGTGTCTAGTATAAGATGCATTTTATAGACAAGGGGCCTGCATTCCAGTGAAGCTGACATGCTCGCCCAAGATCTGCATTTAGGATAGCGGGCCAGGATTTGAGTCCATGTTGAAGGGCCCGCAGTCAGAGCTCCTCTCATACCCCTCAGGCTTTCCACGTAGATAAGACTTGGCTTTATTTTGCCTGAGATATTTTCTCTGTAGCCTGTGGGAGGCTGCTTTACCTGAGCTTGGTACCAGCACAGAGTGTTTGGAAATTCACAACCCTAGGAGCAGCCCGTGACCATAACTGATGAGAGCTGGTGCACAAACACCCCAGCTCCCTCTCCCCGCCAGGTGAGATATCCAGGGGGCAAAGCTGCTGCCTCCTAGTTTCCACTTGGACTTGAGCTCCAGTTCCCACAGTGATATCTGACTTGATAACTCACTGTCCATAAGCAACCTTCTTGTGCTTGGCTCATTTCCTTATCCCCTGTTTTTTGGTTTTTGTTGGGGTTTTTTTTACTGTTTGTTTTTTGTTTTGTTTTGTTTTTTTCTGATACCACCCTCCAAATAAAACTGCTTGCACTCAGATCTTTGACTGAGTGCTTGTTTCTTGGGAAACTAAACTTTGATACCAGAACACAAACTCTTAACCACTGTACACAGGCTGTTGATAGAAACTCATTATCATCCCCGCCAGCAAACTCAAAGGAGTATACAAAAGGTTGGAAGCTGCGGAACCATGGAACCAAGGCTTCTCTCTAAATACCAGCCCTCTGAGAGGCACTGAACCTTAAGGAACAAGAGCAAGAATCAATCTCTGGAGGTCCGCGGTGTGGTCAGCCTGAGAAACATCAGAGAAATTGAACGGGCAAGTCATCACCCTGATCGACATCATCTTTCTAAAATCAAAGGGGGAAGGATGCTATAGTCAGTGTCTGAGCAGTTCTGCCTGGAAAACTGTCCCTTGCTTTGAGAGCAGGCTCTGGCTGGATCACCTCTGAAGCAATCATAATGCTGACATCCCATCTGGCACAGACAGAATGCAGATTCAGGACTCAGAATAATTTGCTGGCAATTTCGCAAGCAGAAAATCTATAACCGGCCAACATTAATTCAGTTAAACAGCAAATGGTCAAAGGTTGCCTCCAGGCACCCTGTGTCTACAATTATACGTTAACCTTTTAATCAGCTAATCCTGCCCTCAGATTCCAGACCAGTAAACCAGTCATTCTAGAGGACTACAGGAGATGGCGTCCCTCTAGGGATCCTGAGTGCGAGAACCCAGAACTGATGGAGCATTCTGGTGAGCAGAGTCCCCCACCGCTGTGTCTCCACAGCGCTCTCTCCGTGCTGATTCCTTGGCACGCTGTGTTCAGGATTCCTCTGGACTCACTAAGGAAAAGTACACCTTTTCCCACTGCTGACCCTCAGGGCAGGTGAGAGTGGTGGGAAGGAATCTCAGAGGCTCCAGCTTTGTTTTGCAAATTCTTGGGTCACTCCATGCTTTCATATTATTAATAATATAAAATATAATAATAGAAAGGCATGCAGCACTCTCCTGGGCAAGGTGTGACTTCGCGAGGTAAGAACTAGTCAAATAATGTATTCACTCACTACTCCCAGTGTTCATTCATTCACTTGTGCCCCGGTACTTATTAAACTCCTGGGATTCAGTGAGCACTTAGCCAGGTGTTGTCCCAGAGCTTATAGAGACGCACCAGTCACTTTATTTCATTCAAATCTTGGCTCTGGGAGATTTGGCATTTTTCATGGCTGCTCTTTGTCTCAGTTTTCAAATCTAAAAAAATACGGACAATAAGATGTGGATTGGGAGGGGCTGGTAGATTCAATGGGAGGATGAGCTAAAGCAACTAGAACAGCACTGCAGAGAACAGAAGCAGTCAGTAAGTGTTAGCTGTCAATGAGAACTAGAAAAGGTGAGAGGCATGAACAAATCATAATTTAATGTATTGATTAAAATTAAATTTTAACTTGAAAGGAAATTATAGGTCTCTTCAGGAACATGTAAAAGCTGGGGGATCATGGAAAGTAAACACACAGAAAGGACATTTTTGCTTCCATTGCAAAGATGAGTCAGAATCAGCTGAGTAAATGGAGAGGAATAGAAACTTGTCTTTTTAACCAACACACTCCCTGCTTTCATATGAATTCCTTTGTGTCTCTATGGGCTTCATGTAACACATCTCTGAACTGACAAAACCGCATTTAAAAAAGAATTCAGACTCATTTAGGGCTTCCCAAAAGTTGAATGCCTGGCTACTTAGTAGTGGCAGAATGTTCTAGCTATAGCTATTGCCCCTTGACCTTTTCTAGCAGATTTCAAATAGCATCTGTGCATGCATGAACTTCTCATGGATACCTGCTCTTCAAGTTCAATGGCTATGGGTTCAGTGGTGGAATACGAAGAAGTGTCCTTCACTGGTTGAAAATGAGTACTTGGACGTTACTCCAATACTAGACAAGAGCCTCCTCCAGTATGATCAGATGTCACTCTTATGAATATAGCAATACCCAGACATACTTCCCCCCTACCCCCCTTTAATATTTCCAGAATATATGTGCGAACAACATTGCAAATTTGTCTTTAATGCCACTGCAATAGTGATCATTCTATATGGTTCTTTTGTTCATTTCTGCCTTTACTTGCACCTCATAAATAACAGGCAACCAATACACCTGTGAAAGCTCAGGAAAGACCAAAGCTTATAATTGGCAAAGGATTACTATTACTTGAAAATTACAATCAGTCTACTTATGAAAGCAGGCTCATGTTCAGACCCACCTAAGCACAGGACAGAGCCCCACTGGTTGCGTATGAATCCCAATTTACCAGCTGTGACCTTGGGCGAGTAACCCTGAATCTCAGTTTCATCAGGCAGAAAATGATGAAACTGAGATTCTTATAGGTTATTATGAGGATTAAGTGATTTAATTATTGTAAAGAGCCTTACATAGTACCAGGCATATAGTAATTGCTCAATCAATGTTTGCTTTTATTATTAGTAGTAGGAATAGCAGCATTTTTATAGATTATGTTTAAACCGATATACATAATTCACTGATATTCCCCAAAGTAGACATTTATAAACATCATCAAAATATTATTTTTGTTGCTATTATAAAACTGTTCAGTGGTAGGCTGCGCTCAGAAATATTCAGAGGAGAGGGAACAACAGGAACCGAATCGGGAAGACGATCAGGCGAGAATCTACATCTCAGGGTCGGCCGTGCAGGAGAAACGCCCATGCCTGCTGGGCTCTGGGGCGGCTCTGCGAGTCCTTTCAACGGCACCTCGGAGCTCTGTCCGCTGCGGGAGAGCCACTGCCTTCAACCTACGCATGAGAGAAATCCTTGCATCACGCTCTTCATGCCTGCTTTTCTCTTTAGCTCCCATTTCTTTGCTTCTGTTCCGAGCTTTCTCTTTCAAACGAAAAGGTTTTTGTTTATCCTGACAGGTACTGATGCAAGAACAGAGCCAACTTTGGAGTTTGCCTCCAGGAAAATGCCTTTTGTTTTGTCCCAGACTACAGCTTTCCAACTGGCAGAGAACGGGATGGATGGGGCCAGCAGGGCGGCTGGTCCAGCCGGGGCAGCCTGCCCTAAAAGTTAAATTATCATGTTATGCGGCGCACGCGTCTCCCACCTGCCCTTGTCCGCGCCACTCCCCGCATCCGGGCTCCCGCCCACTGACCCGGTTACGCGATTGCCGGGCCCTCTCGGCATTTGAGTTTGCAGCCCTGTTTTAGACTTTGGAAACAGGCTCTTCACGCAAAGAATTCTTCTATTTATAAGTCTCTTGTTAATTGTCACAAGAGTTCCCATAACCAGGCGCCCTGTTGCAGTAAGTTTGGCCACGTGACTAAGCATTGGTCAACAGGTAGGGGTGAGCAGACTTTCATCACTTCTAGGCCTGACCCTTGAAATGCCCTCCCTTTCC